AGGAGGCTCCTAAAGATTAGAGAAAGCAGAGTCAACACACCTCCCACGGGCTTGGAGTTTTCTTTAGTTTACTACCTGAGGCACATAAGATCTCTAAAATACTCAATTTTCATGGTTGCAAAAAAGATTTGCTTGGAACAACCTGCACTGTGTAGTGCAAAATTATATCATGTGAGTAAGACTACTTTTTATGTGCTCGTATAAACCTGTGAATTTGTGAGATAAAGCTGGTGTGGATCAAAGGAAGGTTATATCCTAGTTTGGGCTCGCTTTGATCTGAGAATTAGTTCTGTGTAGCAGAGCAGATATCAGACTAACTCTTAGACCTTGCAGACATTGAGACATTTTTCAGTCCTCAGTGTCTTGCAGTCATGTAAATATAAGAACAAGCTCTAAATGCTTAAAAGGTATATGCAAGTGGAGAAGGACTCCGATAAATATTACTTGGGTTCCTTCCCATTTGCCAGAATTTGGTCCTCCATCCAATTATGAGACCTATTTTGCTATATAAACAGCTCTGACACATCCATCCATCCTTAGAGTCAGTGAGGTGGGACCCATCCGTGTACTTTTCCCGTGTTTTCATTCACTGTGCCAAGTCATATCGTATGTGACAACACAAGATTGAGATCATAGAGATGAAGGAACGCTGGCATTTCCATTTATCCCCTGATCTGTTTACAGCCTGTGCAAGGAAATATATTCACCATTGAGATGATGGTGCTTAAAAACATAGAAAGATTCATATCAAGATGAAACAGGTTGGGATGTGAGCAGAGGTCATGGCAAAGTCACGGATAAGCTTCCTGCTGGATATTGGTAATGGTTATAGGAAGTTGTGAACAAAAATACTTTCTGCTCAAGGAAACAAACCCCACAGCTTGCTGATCTGAAGATCTGAGACTGAGTAGTTATAAGAAAATGAGTGGTTTCTCCTTTCCATGACACAGGTTTCGGTTGAAATCAGAGTAGCAGGAAATGGGGGAAGAAAGGATCCTTCTTGTCTAAGTTAGGTGCTGAATGCAAGATATTTCTTTCCCCCTTAATTACCTTCATCTTACCTTCAGATTCTCTGAATCTAAAGTTAGAGGTGTCTGATACCATCCTCAGTGCTTCTTTGCCTTGTTCTGGTCATTTGTGACATTCATATGGTGGAGGAAGTCCTTAAGTCCAATTCCAATAAATCTTAGTTACTTATTCATTACAGATTCTTTTGGAAAGACTTATGAAAGGTCTATCTTGTAGCAGGTGTTGGGCACAAAATTGTTGGATAATCTGAGCTGGAGAGCATATGTGTGTGTCTTGCTTTTTTCCATTGTCTTTTTTTTTTTTCCCATTTCTTCAAGGTTTTAAGATCATTGAAATTACTATGTACATAGAGAAGAAATCATGTGTGTTAATATTCCGTTCTTATCCTTCGAAAATTTAAAATGTGAGTTAGGCAGGAGCAGGACTAGGAGGAGGCAGTCTTCAGAGGAGCCTCAAGTACACAGCTTCTATTGCAAAGAATTTACTAGTAATAAAGTGCAGATACTGGCAGAAGTTGTGTCTGTACAAGGGGAAACCCCTTTGTAACCTGCTTTCCCTATTTGTAAGATAAATCTGATTAAAAGATAAAAAAAGAAAAGTTGTAATCAGCAAAGATTTTATCTCACTGAAAAGATTTGATCCAACAGAAAAAAAAAATGTTATGCCTAGGCATTTTTTTTTGATATTATGTATAACAGCAAAGTCTGACCCATAGTCCTAAGAAGTAGTTTAAAAAGAACTACTGAGCATATCAGATCTTTGCAACTTTTTCCTCCCTTCTATCAATTTTTTCACAGGCATAGTTTGGTTTACAGATATATCTTGACAAAAATCTGCCACAGGCAAATTTCAACAAAAGAGCCACTTCAAACACATCCAATTAACAATTCATGAAAGGAAATCCAACACAAAATTACACAGAGATTTGCAGGGCATAAAATTTGGCACTAAATCAAATTTAACATGGAAATGCCCATATATGAAGCTAAAGCCTCTTGCAGTGTATTTTCCAAAGGAGCTTTTCCTTTTGGAGACTCAGTTGAGTGCCCCCCATCAAATCTATTCTTTCTCTAAGTAAAAGATTTTTCTTTCATTCATGACAATGAGCAGTATCTAAGAGTCCACTGATAAACCCAGTTATATGCTTTATAATAAAAAGTTTTTTAAAATCACTAGAATTCTTCACCCTGTCAAATACAGAGTCAAAGAAAATCTCAGACTTCATACATCCCCAATTCTGGTTTCAGAGTCACTGATTCCTGCAGTTGTGCTTGGATTTTCTTGAAAGTTGTTAGAAGGTTACAAAAATTTTTAATTGTCTTCAGAAGCTCTGAAAGTAGAGAAAATCTATGTCTGGACCATTATCTATTTAGACACATGCATAGCTAACATTTTAAAGGGATGACTAAGTGGCATCACTGTGTTAGGGCTTTTTGTTTGTTGTTATTTATTTACTTAGGACCAAAAAGTGGAGATCACAGATAGGAGCTGACAGGCATCAAGACATTGTACTTGTGATACAACCATGGTGCTATGTAGGCTGATGTCATCTGAGGACTGGCTCGCCTTTTAATATTGTTCCATCAGCACGCTATGGGAAGCACTTAATAACTCAAAAATTGTTACCTTTTCCTGGAATCTATATCCATAGGGAAAACATGGATTTAAGTGCTTAGTTCCATGATAAAAGATCCCTCATGTGACCTAAAAAGACTTAATTAAAGCTAGATGCTGTTCAGCATCTACAAAGGATATGTACCTGGACCCTATATGGCCTTGTGCCAGTACATCTCGTATTTTGCCGACTGATGGTATGGATAAATCTGCCAGTTAAATGAAGTATCAGAATGCCTCAAGTTTTGTTTTGTTGCTGTTTGTTTGTATGTTTTGTTTGTTTTGTTTTCTTTCTTGAGTGTATTAATATACACTTTCAACAGTGAAACACTTTAACAAAAACTTAGCTTCCAAAGCAAATATTAATTGGTGAATAAAACATTCCTGGAGCATTTTAATGCTATTAGAATATGTATTTTAAAATGAACTTTATGTAAAATGTAAATGAACTTTAACCTAATTTGAAATGATGATTTTCTTCCTATAATACACACTTTCTTTGTAGATAATACATCTCAGGGAAAGAGGAGGGGAAGCAATGTAAGATACTGATGTCAAAGATTGCATCTTCTGTTTATACTTTTGAGAGATAATAGGATGCTTTCAGATGATTTTTATGCAAACCTCCACCTCCTCCACCACCCCATTTCCTTCAGCATGTATTATTCTTGTCTGCAGTTAGATGATGGTGATACTACTAATAATGAATGATTTTGATTAAGCTCCTGAACCTATATTTAGGCAACTACAAAAGTCTTTAGGTATCCATTTTTTCCAGGTGTTTTTAAAGAATTAAGAGCTTCTGGATACCTAATATGCTTCAAAATCTAGCCAGCTGGGATGTCTAAATGCCCTTGTACGAGTTCAGTGTTAACATATTTTCTTCATGCCTCCTTCACAGTTCCTCCAGGGCAGTTTTCTAAGAAAACAAACAATAAATAAAACAAAAACACATAACAACTGTGTGTGTGTGTTTTTGTTTGGTTGGTTGTTTTTTTCTCTTTCATCTCCTTCTACCAAGCACACGTGGTTCTGCTTTCTTATTCTTTCCTGGGTGATTTGATATCATTTGCATTGCAGTTTCCCTTCTAGTCCTGCAAGTCTCTGTGCCCTCTCAGTGAGCTCCTGCACAGCCTCAATTCCCATTCACTGCATGGGAATTGAAGGCAGTGGACAACTTTTGAGAAATAGAAAGCCTTAGAAAGAAAGCAAAAACCTTTATTTCTCAAGCATAACCACTTGAAGAGCCTTACTGTTTGCCTTTCAGCTACATCTAGATCCAGAGAACTGAACATCCTGGATCCTTGTATTTGTTTTCTATAATATTCAGGGAGTTCGGGGCCATTCAGATCAAGAGAATCAACTATATTCTGTAATGTGTGATGTTTCTTCTTCCAACTTTAGAACAATGGAAGCAGTGGGATCACTTTTTGTATTACAACTTTTGATTAGATGTTAAAGCTCAAATCAAGGCTTGTTTAAAGACCCATGTGCATGATTAAGCGAAACACTCAGGTAGTAGCTCTAGTACTGGAGTCTTCACTGTGTGTATTTGAACTCAACCTCCTGATTGTCCTTATCAACCTTATGTTGTTTCATTCTCTGCATCTGGGCTAGACTGAACCTACAATCTTTGTTGGCATAGAAGCCAATGGATTAGAGAAGGAGAAGACCTTGCTAAACCTCTGCCCCATCTTTATTGTAGATGCAGGTGACTCATACTACTTAGTCCAGAACTTGGATCTGGACACCAACACAGTTCTTAAAGGCAATGTGAGCGTTAGTTACCCAGAAAACAGTCAGATGTATTAGTGAAAGCAGGTCAAGTCTATAGAGGAAACAGAACATGAAATTGTGAAATTAAATGTTGGTGCTCAAACTGATGACTACACGGTCCCATTATTCTAATGGCTCTCCCTTATTTTTAGAGATTGTTTATCATCTCAACAATGACCTTTTGTTATGTCATGTGTTGCAAGCTAGATCATAAAGTTTTCAAAGAAAACACATAGGCTTTAATTATTGTTTTAGAAGGTTTCCAGTACAATCAGCAAGCTGAACATGTCATTTTTCAGATGTACATAAACACTTTGTTCCATCAGAATTGTCTGAAGTGGAAGCTCTTTGCTCGGACTGAAATGTAAATGGAGGGGATCTGGCTTCAGCTCCTTGCTTTAAGGCTTAGTATGTGTCTCTCATTTAATTAGTTGTCCATGATGGATCGTTCTGATTTCCTGTATTAACATTTACTCTATCCTCTTCACCTTATTGCATGATTTATGCAATCTTTTATATTATTGCTTTTTGTTTCTGTTTGAACTGATATTTTCTGGTTTTATTCCATTTTCTCATCTCAGCAGAGTCCTAGGACCCCATTCTCTGACCTACCTGATGATGAGAAGATCTTTAATGGAGGAGATGGCACATGGCAAAATCAGAGCCAGGATCAAGCCTTGCTCTCAGAAATCACAGAAGAGGATCTGGAGGCCATCCGTCAGCGGGAAGAGGCCATTCAGCAGATTGAGGTCAGTAGCCTTCTCTAGTCATGGGCTTACAAGTGGAGGTTCTTCATGTTCTAGATTGCTCAACATGAGGAAGGAAAACCCTGATTTACCTACCTGGCTGTACATCACCACTAGATGTGGACGTGATTGTCAGGTGTTTTTTTTAGAAATGGAAATTAATGGTAGAATGAAGAATTAGAAATTGTTATAAGCTCTAATGAAAATTGCAGTAATTAATTAATGTTCATGGGCTAATTTTTTTTCAACATATCTTAACACTCTACAGTAAAGTCATTTGAGTGAGCCTGATTTTGAAGCAAAACAGCTCTCTTTGTTCGTGCAAACTTGAAACTGGAATTTTTGATAAACAGAGAAATGTTCAGCTTCAGCACTAGATAGAACAGCAGGTAGAAGGAAAGAGATAACTTGTAGAATATTTCAAATAATTCACTGTTTTGGGTTTAATGAAGTATTTGGATGTTCTTAATATAGCTTTTTAGGGATCATATTTTCTCTGCTCACTTTTTTTTTTTTTCCCTAAATGAAGCTATAAATAACATAAGGGAAGAAAAAGGAACAAAAATATGTCCTAATGAGTTAAGCAACCCCCATTTTTCTTTTAATACTTTTAATACTTTTGGAAAACTCAGTTATTCAATAGAAACTGTAAGTAAGTGGGAAAACAAAAAAAAGGAATATTTTAAATCTTTCTGATTTGTATGCTTTTACAGGGCTAAACTCAAGATGAACCAAAAGAGAGGACTTCAGAATAAATGAGAACATTTAATTAAGGACTACACTTTGTCCTGTAATTAGATTGAGATAATTTTATCAGAATGGATTTTGGTGTGGTATAGCAGGAATAGTCATTCAGTTAACTGTGCAAGAATGGGACAAATATTTTAGCTGTAGACTAATACTTTGAGGCTTTGACTTCTCTAAACAAGGATAATAGCATAGTATCCAAAGCTGTAAATAGGAAATTTGTGTAGTTTTATGGGAGTTGATCCAAGTTAGCATGTATACAATTTCTCCTACTGTGAGCTCTATAGAGACAATTAAGATTCATGCACTTGTGTGCATTTTTAGGGTGAAATTGTTAAAGAATAGGCTAGCATCGACTATCCTGGAGTGTGAGTTATGCTTTTATATTTAGAACATCTTTTTATTGATTTTTTTTATTTCTGAGCATTCAATTCCCATCCATTCCCATCCCAATTCTAGGGAACTTTGCTATAAAAAAGTGATTGTTTGGAGATGCCCCCGTACTTTGACTTTCAAGTAGGATGTACTGGTATGCTCATAGTGCTCCTCTGGACCGTGTGGTTATACCTGGTTCCTGAGACAAGATGTGCTGCGTCTGTCATGTCTTGCACATCTATGTTCAGGCTGGATGTTACTTTCCCACAGCTGAGAAGGCTGGATGAAAGCTGCTTCTGTTGGAAGCTAAGGAGATAGACAGCAGGATTAAATAAATATTGTCCCAGCCCTACTCAACTTCCAAATAAATGCAGTGATTTTGTATTTTTTAGGTTGCATACATATTGATATGGTAGATTCTGCTTATCTTTCTGCCTGATACGAATTTCTCCCTGGATAACTTATTCAGTTTTTGCATTAATGAGCTTCAGACCAAAGGACTGTGTGGATGTGTTCCTGTGTAGTTGGTCTTTACCTGTCTTTTTTCTCTATCTCCATCATAACTGCATCCATTTCGCATTGCTGTCTGCATTCCTCCTGTAAGGAGGGCTTCATTCCATATGCATTCTTTGAAATGCAGATTAAACATTTCTGCACAGAAGGAAAATTCTGTAGCTGATGGATGAGGTTTGTTTCTTGTCATCACACTGCGTTAAACAAATATTTAGGTCAAATAATATTTTATTAATATCTTTTTTGAAAGAAATATAACAAACATGAAATGGTTTTATTTGACTGTTTCTTACATCTCTCCAGGTGTCTTTGGATAAGCAGCTGATGCTTTAAAAACTTTTTCTCTTTTTTATTTTTCTGTTTGTTGATCCACATGAACATTTTTCTTGTGAAAGGACTATGTTGCACATCCAAACTTTCCTGGTTTCATTAAAAATTGTGGTTATACAGAGAAAGGATTCATTGAGCTCTAAGTCACCCTTGCCACGCTTTTCCAATATATTTTCAAACCCAATAAGTGATCAAGAAGGTTAAAATTAAACATTATTCCTAACTGTCAAACTGTCATCTAATAAACTGAATTTATTGCCAGATTGATATATAGCATTTGTTCTTTGCTCTTTGGGGAACAAAATGAAGGAGAAAGCTATGCAAAACACGTCTTATGAAAGTAGATTTATTTTTCTGGGTAATTTTGGCTTTTTGGAGTAACACTGGAATGTGTAGACCATAAGCAACACAGAACTGCGCAGGTCTCAGAGCAGAACAGTGCTAGGATGTTGTTCCTGTGGAGCTACCACAATGATGCTGGTGGTGCTAGTCGGTGCTGGTTCCAATGTTGAACCCTTTTTTGAGATGACACTGAATTTTCCAGAACAGATAAACCTTTTCCATTGTCAAAATGTGAGGAAATAAATTCTCCATTCAGTGTGTGTGCTGAAAAATAGGTATAAAATTTACACCCATAATAGACATCTTAATGTTCCAATGACTGTTCTCCCATTTGTAGGAGAATATGTGGATGTTTTCCACCTTACCAGAATCTCTTTAGAGATTCACGTTAACGGGACATTATTCCCTGTCATGAGCACCCCTTGCAATGTATATCAGTGTTCACAGTTTCCACCTAGAAGGATTGCAGCCATGTCAGAAGTTCAGCTAGCTGTTCATTTATTTCAATGTTCTGCTTCTGCTATAGCTTTCAGATTAAAAATAGAGAAGTCTGTGAGGAAGATGTCTTGCAAAGCCTTACATTTTGGATAAAGATCTTTATTGCTTGGAAATGTCAAAGTCTGGTAGGACACAGCAGCCTTGAGACAAGTGTTATTTCTTAAAATATTGCTTTGAACTGTTATATAAAACCTATTTTAACTTGAACTGTATTGGCAGTGAATAATAGATGCCATAACAACTTTATTTATAGCATTGTAAAATGTGCTATCGGAAATACAGGAGTTGAACTGTAATGTATATTGTCAGTGCTCGGTGCTGGCAGAAATTCTGTCATAGCAAATATGTAATTTAGCACCTTGTGTCTTTCATTGGCACCTGCAATCAGGTTAGAAACAGAAAGAACATAAACTTTGAGAGGAAATAGAAAACCATTGCATGAAGAACTTGAAAATTTCTTTCGGTGACTGGTGATGCCAGTAGAAAAAGGATACAAAATGTTGTACTGGTTCAGAAGGCTTCTGGTGATCCTCCACATGTAGACCTAGTTTCTCCTAGAGCGGGGAGAAATGAGGATGAGAGGAACCCATGCAGAAGCCACATCCCGTATCCTTGAAGTCTTTTCCTGGTCATCCCATCTCATTCATAGCCCTTCCTTCCTTCCTTCCTTCCTTCCTTCCTTCCTTCCTTCCTTCCTTCCTTCCTTCCTTCCTTCCTTCCTTCCTTCCTTCCTTCCTTCCTTCCTNCTTCCTTCCTTCCTTCCTTCCTTCCTTCCTTCCTTCCTTCCTTCCTTCCTTCCTTCTTCCTTTTTCTTCCTTTCTTTGCCATACAAGTGCTTCCTAGTCTCCTGACGTGACAATGGACATGGTCCTACCATAAAGAGTGGGCAAGAGATGGGACAGAAATATGCTAGTGAAAGGGCATGCTTGGAGAGTAGAGCTTCCCACTGCTGGAAATGGTTGTTCCCTAGAATAAGAGGTGCCACTTTATATATCTTAACTCCTTAAACCCTTCTTTTTTTTTTTTTCATTTTGTCCCTCATAGCAAGAGCAGCAGCACTAAGAGCCCAGTCCATGCAGGTAGGCATCTGCCTGCTTTCACAGCTACATAGCCTGACATTTCCAAGCCCATCTTAGCCCTGAAAACTAGCAGATGTCAGTCACTTTTCCACAAAATCACAGTTACCAAGGTATTTAGCAATTAGGGAGTCAGTCATTCAGACCAAATGATTATAAGGTAAGTCTTACTGAAACACATTTTGATGATAAATCATTTTTGGCTGGACAACTGTTGCAAACTGGAGACCATCAGGTTCAGAGGCCCATGCAACCATGGAGAATAGCCCAGTGGAAAGGGTGTTAGGAAGATCTCCAGATAATTAGTTTATTAATTCTGCCATTAACTTCTTTTGTGTCCTTGTAAGTGATCATACTGATGTTACTGAGGAGGAAAGTATCATTCTGTATCTCAGAGGCAACTGGGAGAATAAGTCATCTAATGGGCTCCTTCTTCATTTTGTTAGGGAAGTGAAGACAATAAATCACAGGAAGGACTTCTTTTTCCTCAACCTATTTCTGCAGATTTCTTTTTTTTTTTTTTTTTTTTTTTTTAATTATTATTGTTTTTTTCATGCAGAACTCATACATTAACTTTGCTGATGTGACAAAGTGGAAAGCAATGCATGGTCATCAGAGCAGGGGAGCTGATGGCTGTCCTGACTTCTGGCAAGTATAGATTGTAAATGCCTCCATCCACTTTGTACCTATTAGTTGAGCACAGCTTGGAGGAAGGAGTAGAAAAGCAAAGGAAGGAAAAGAAAGCAAAATAGAACAGTAGAGCTTCACTTCGACTGATGGTTCTCTTGGCAAACAAGAACAAGAATTGCATAGACTCTGGCAACAGGTGTGAGAGAGATGCTTTTATTTTTAGTAAAGGTTGTTCCCTCTGGATCAGCACTGAGAAATGTTGATGTTCATTCCATATCTGTTTTGAAGAGAAGTGATAGATGCCAGCCTCCACTCCTGTCAGTCAAGCCTTTGTAACCAGACAGAAAATGAAATACAATAAAAATAAAACAAAACAGCCCCACAGAGTCTGTCAGAGTGTGTTTGTTAGTTCAAACATGTTCCTTGTTCGCTCATTATTACATCTCATTTCTTGCTGAGGGGTATTTTCCGTAAAATCTCTTCAGTGATGTT